GTATGCTTAATCTCACATGAAATAGTGCTTTTCACTCAACTGTTAAAGTACATCAAAATCATTATGTTACAGTAATTACTGGAAGGGAATAGTCCTTTTGTATGTTCTGAGTGAACTAAATATTTTATTCTAAATTTAAAAATAGAAACTACAGTGTACAAACCTTCAACCCCGATATCAAACTGCATATGTTTATGAAACAATAATTAAATGGTAATTTATAGTTATTGTTACCTACTCCCTTTGTAGTGTAGAATTTAGAACATGCCTGTAGTGTAGTTAGAGTGTAATAAAAGAAATATAATAATAGAATCTTGAAAAAAGGTTTACGATGGAAGCTCAAGTCACACCCTAATAATAAATTGCAAATAACAGGCCACAGGTCCATTTGATACTGATAGCATTAAAAATGTATAAAAATCATAGACCATAAAATGTTTATCAATTGTAGGCATTGTGACATTGTCATTGTATTCATAATTTTTTATACAATATTTTCCTATGCATTTCTCAATCAGTTTAATTATGATCATTACTTACATGACATTAGGCCTTCTTAGAGTAAAATAAGTAATTAGACCTAAAAGTAAAGCTAAGCACTCATTCACACTAATCACTTATTACTAATTACTGTTTTTGTAATTGTAAGCCTACTTTGGACTTTAAACTACTCAGTCTACTGCAGGCCCTACTGATTTTAGGATTTTGTAGCTGAAAATGAAATGCGCCCACTTTAAAATGGCAGGGGCACTGGACTGAAGGTTAACTTCTTACTACTTGCAGTTGATAGTAATTTATACTTATAGTTATAGGCCTAGACTATCCATTGAATTTGAAAACATCCACGCCCTTAGGCATCCTAATTGGAAGTTGGTTAACTTGGTACCTGGTTAAAGTTAATTACTTAATCAATCACAATTAGTATTAAGTATTAGCCAACTAGGCCTGCCTACAATCAAATTGCCTTTGAGTTGACTGTTTTATTTTATCATTTCATCCATTCTCCAGTCATACTTTTATTGAGGCCTTAACATTTTAAAGTTTTAAAGTTGTTAGTTCTTACAAGCGTCTTACAAGCTAACAATAACCTAACATAATAACTACAAGTAGGGCCTACTTTAATTACTTTAATAAGTTTTTTCATACTACACTTAAAGTCACAAAGCCCACAACAACCATCAACAAAAAATAGTAAATAAACAATTCAATATCAACAAGCTTACATTTTATTATGTATGTTGCCTTAATTGATAAGACTTAATTGAATTCAATAAAATAATTGATAATTTAATAACTTACATTAGTCTTAGATGACCAACCACAATGTCAATGGTGTTGAACTGTTGAATGAATTTTAAAATGTTCTAATAGTAAGTTCACGTACCGGTGTTCAGGAACGTGTCTGGGAAACTGGTGAACACGTTGGCAAATTTGGTGCCTACGTGACTTCTCCAAAGTTTTCTGGACAAGTCTGTGAGCCAATCGCGTTGTGGTGCTCAACTCCTTCTCTCGTTTTCTCGTCGACTGTAACTGTAACTCTGTAACTCGCCTAGTTCTACGCGAGCGAGGTACTCCCATACTAACGGTTGCCAGATTTTTAACGGTATGATCTATGGATGAATGTAAATTTACTCTCATTAATATTAAACTACATCCATTCAGATTGTTGCATTTTATTAATTCCTGATATGCATCAGCCTCATCAGCAAAAACTTTATAAAGATATAAAGAAAATAATAAAATCAAAATGTCACCAAAAACTAAATAATTTTTATAACTTCGATTTTTTTTCCCTGCATAATGGCAATGTTTACTTCTTAGGCAGACAATAATAACATGACCTAAATTCTAGGGGGATGATTGACCTTTCAGGGCTATTCCATTAAGTGGACGGGTAAAATAAAATAAGCCCTTCCATTAAACAAAATGTAGTGATTTTTAAGTTTTTTGCCGCCTCAGTGGAATAATATTCAAAATGATGTGATATAAATATTTTATAGTCAGTTCTATCGAACTGATGATCTCTGTGAACATAGGTTTTGATTATTAATATGATAATGTGCATGGGTAAACTAGTGTTGAAATAGAACATCAACGTCACAGAAAGATTTGGATGAGTTGATGATCCACCATTTCGTTGCTGAATAATTTCTTTTTTTACTAATTCAAAGTTAACTACTTCCTCTACAATAATGAATGTTGCCATTGGTTACAGCCATTGCTCCAACAAATTTTGCGAATATTTTTATAAGCTTTCATTTATCTAAGGCAAGTCCTGTAGATGTAAAGTTTACGGGACAATTTGTCTTTCACTATGAGTCATTCCCGACGGAGACCTGTTTATAAGGTAAACGATTGTGCGTGCCCGTGCTCCATTAAAAAATTTATATTATTATAAATATAAAGAATAAAGGACATATGCAGCCCTGATCAGTGATCACTGATTCATGCGTCCCGTTGAATTATTGTTAAATTGAATTGTTTTTTTAATTGAATTATTATATTTTATTGGTATTGATCCGTACTAGTAAAGTAATAGTAATAGGCATGCAAATGCAGATATCAGCGGGAGGAGGGGTTGCAGTGCCCAGGTCCAAGTCTCCATTACTTTATTGAATTTCTCAGTTCTATCCTCCCATTAAATTAGACCTATTTGACTCAATTTGAGTCATATGGCACGGGCATACTATCAAGGATTTAGTAATTACTGAATGAATACAGAACAGAGCATCACCAAACAACAGCACATCACTTTTCTTGATTGATTTCACACTCATACGCTTACACTTACATTACTATAAATTATATTATTAATATTCAGGCCCACTTAACAATTGATAGTTACAAATCCGAATGTACAAAAAACAATAGAATAGTAGGCCTATTAGTATATCTTTTAATATAGAGATAGATATGTAGGCTATGTGTAAGTATGTATGTATATTATTATCTCAATAGACTCCTGGTGGCATGATGGATCTGGACCAGCTTTCAGTGTTAACTAAAACTGCTATAGAGCTATAGCTATGGAATTAAATAACAAATTTTAATTGGATGACTTAACTTTACGAATTAAGATTGAAACTTTTTCGAAATTTTTTTGACAGCACTTTCAATTTCAGTCTTGAATACTTCTACTTCTACAGGCGTTTTGCTTGTGAATGCATAGCTATGCAATGCTGTTGCAAAAGGCAGTTCTATTATATGAAAGCATAAATAAGTCTTGTAACATTTTGCATTACATTATTGTACACTTGTAGTTGTGGACATTGTTGTGTCATTTAAAGATATATCATCAAGCATCAATACAATTTAATACTCTTAGAAGTAGAAGTAGTACAAGTAGTGCAGTAGTGCAGTATAATAAAAGGTCAATAATTATATCATCATTTAATTTATTTTATTTCACTGTCTCCTGAATAGCATCATTTTATTCTTATTTCAGCAAAGCAAAGGTAAATATGTACTCACTATTTTGACACTATGTTTCTTGAAATATTGATTTCTCATATTTTGTATTATATAATAATAATATTGCAGAATGCATCCAGAGTCATTCATAAAAATATAGCCTACTCCATTAACATAATTTTTCATTTATATTTATGGGCCTAAGAATGTCCATTGCCCATCCTTACATCCCCATTTGTTTTTGTTACATATATCACCAAGTAACATTGGTGACACATGCAACCATTCCTCCCCCAACTGTCCTTGATTGGGAAAGTTTTTTTATGTTTCCAGAATGGTCTACATAGAGTGAAAAAAAATACTTTCTGACCAATGAATTTCTAGACTTTCCCTTCTTGAAGGTTCTTACTCCCTCTCTATAAATAAGTGACAAGGAGATATTTATGAGACTTACAAGACTTACTAGATTTTTACTGTGTTTATGGATTAATATTTTTACCTTTCTGGTATTATATTTTTTTACTTGCTGTGCTGTAATTTAATAAAGTTTTTATTTCTTTATATTTTGTTTTTTGTATTTTTACATCAACTTAATTGTATGATTAAATCCCTTGCTTTGGTATCGTTTTTTCTTTTATCGATTTTTCAGCCACTTGTTACATATTGTGAATCTAATGAGCCAAATCTAAAAGACATTAAATATTTAAAACCATATGATGGTATGTAAGACAATCAAAATAGACATTTGAAAGGGAAAAAATGACACCTATCCATTTAAATTATTCAGTAGAATTATAAAAAGGAATTTCTGTAATACTGATTTTTCTTTTCCAAAATACAGAACCATTTTTTTTTTTTCTGAAATACTGCTAGGGTTTTTTATTTAGGGAAACATAATGTAATAAGCTGTGATGGTTAATTTTTAAGTTATATGTTTATTATTTGTTTTTGTAACAGGTCCTAGTGATTAGGCTATCCATTTTAACAGTACATTTTTTAAATAGCTGTAGTATTAGTTCAACTATTAATTTAATATTACACTTTTATCTTTCAGGAAGTGATAGCTTCAGTAAGTTATTAAACTTATCTAAACAAATTTCATTTTTATGCAATTGTAAAATAAAAGTGTATTTAAGTTAAAATCCATTATAGATGCTTAATTAAAATATGAATAGTATTTGCTTTAAAAATTAATCCATTCACTTACCCTTAGTCTTACACTCTGATAAGCAAATGTGTACAGTATAATTAATTTTTTTATTTTAATGTCTTACTTTTTTTTTTCTTACACATTTTAATAGCTGATTCAGATGAGGAAAAAAGTAAGTTTTAGTTTTTCTTGTTGGTTTTTGTTTGTTGTAAATGGTGCCTGAATATCATGTTTTATAAAGTTAACTGAATACAAAATGTTGGTTAAAGTGTACCATATCATTCAGTTTCACAGACTACATAAAACCTTTTACTTAAAAAATGAAATATTACATCTAAAATTGTTATATTGTTCTGACTAAATTATTTACTGTTGCCACTATCATAAGTATGTTTCCATTTATATTACCATTATATAAATTCCTTTTTTTATTTGACAGACTGTGATAAAAGAAAAACACAGTTTTATATAAGGTTAGTTTATTTATATAATTTGTTAAAGGTTTACTATATTATACGAAAAGGTATATTGCAGTAAAAGTATTATGTCATGTTTCGCAATTTACTAGTAAAATTAAAAATTTGGATGAACTTAAATTTCAGGCCTATTAATAATGATATTTTTTTATCAATTACTCCCAATACCTAAAAAACACTTTATGTCAGATCTACTGTGGACAATTGCATCAAGCGCATGAGATGTGGATTTACCTGTGTCAATCCTAAATTCTGTGCCTGCCTAACCTTCTATTTACTGTGCAGTCTTTTGATGCTAGGTATGGTCAGCTTAAATTGATAATTATAGTCACTAGAGCCTTAAAAATTAAAGTGATATAGGTATTTGCATCTGATGAGCACATATGAAGTGTACAGGAAAATCTAATTTTTAGGGCCTATAATGTAATAAAGTAAATGTTGTTTTTTTTAAAGTTCAACATCCATTTGCTTTCTCAGGATTTTTATACCTTTATGGATCAACAATTATAGCTCAGATTTCAAGACTTCTTCGAATTATGATTCATGCATTGCTACCTGCTTCTTGGTTAAAGGTATGAGCTAAAAAGAATTGAGTTATTTGTTGGCTTTTTGTTCTTTTTTTTTTTTTTTTTTTTTTTTTTTTTTTTTTTTTTTTTTTTTTTTTTTTGGCATCTACCTGTTTGAATAAGACAATGGTGTGATATTTATGGATTAAATCACAGGGCCTGCGTTTTTTTTTTTAAAGAGAATCAGCTGTTCCCTAGTCAAAAGTACACCCTCCCCGACACCATCTCAAGGAAACCAAGGGTATATCAAAGGTTTACAGCTTGGCCTTAGAGGGCAGCAGGATTTGCCAGAACTTTCATTGAGTAAATGTCAGAGCACCTACAGGTCTCCCTTTGCCTTTAACCATCAGTTTGTAGCTGTAAGGCAGCGGAAATTAGCAATCAGAGTTTCCTTCTCTTAGTCACTTATCTTATAATAGTAAAGCTAATTCAACTAAAGCCAATCATAGTTCATTTCTAGGGTGAAGCCATACTTTTTTTTCTGTTTGTTTAGATTAATAAAAGGCAGCCTTTAATGCTTCATCTATAATAAATTTTAATTTTTCACTTTTGACTTTTGACTTTTCAGTCAACTAAAGACATAATCAATGAAGCACTTTACAAATATAATGCTGACCGTCTTGGCCTAGCAGACTATGCCCTTGAATCTGCAGGTGACTTTTATTTTTTATTTTATTGTAGATTTTGATCAGAGGTACAAACAAAATGTAATTACTCCACATCTCAAAAACCTTATTTTTAAATTAATGAACACATGTATTATTAAACAAACATACACAATTCAATTAAGTTAAGCTCACACTGGATTAGCCTAAAAAATACCTTATTCATTTAACTTGTACATTTTATTTCAGCTAGACAAGTTCAGCATAATAAAATGGCATAGAATGAAGATTCATGTGCAGAAGATTCAAGTTTCAATCAGAAGATTAGTTGTCTTTACATGAATAATATTGCCTATTTGAATTTACATTCCTGAAAGTAACAACTGGAGTTGACTGGTTCTTTCAATATTAAAATTTTTAAAAATTATTTTTATTTTGTAAGGGTTCCCCCAGAAGTACTACAATACTGGGGTAGTCTGCCTTTGCAACTCTCTTTTTTGTTATTTCAGATCGTCCCAATCTCAGTTGAAAACCAAGCGAGATATCATGTTCCCCCACCCCCCCCCCTCCCCAACCAGGTTTGGTAACCAGGCTAGATAAGAACAGACCTGATCTTTAATCTTAGCCAACAGGCCGAGAGACAATCTGAAAATTTTTTGGGCTTATTCAGCCATCTTCAGATGAAAATAATATAAAACACAGTACTTCTATTTTTTTCTACTTTTGAATTTCAGTGAGAGCTTCAGAACTATTTTTAATACCCCCCAAAAAAACTAGGAATACTTTCTTTGTAGCTTATTTTCACTCAACCTGAACTGTTATTTAAACATAATATTTTTATGCTTTATAATAGGAGGAAGTATCTTATGCAGCAGCGAGACTTACTACTCTAAGTCTGGTCCTTTGTACAGCATCTTTGGTATTCCACTGTGGTATCATGCGTCATCGCCAAGGGAGGTCATTCAGGTAAAGCTAATTATGTACTTGTCATTGTCGTTTTACAAAAATGGTTTATACAATTGTTTTATTACATAGTTAGTTTGGGGGGGGGGGGGGGGGGTTTTTGTTGGAATGGTTTCAGGAGGCATGGTGCTTTTTTAAAGTAGGCCTATATGAATTTACTAAGTAAGTTTTTCATTTCACTGTCAACTGCAAATAACATGCAAAATGAAAAACAAATATTAAATTAAGTTTTACACAGCATTGTAACATGGGAGAATTAAAGTGTATTATAAATATATATACAGTTTGTTTGTTTTTTTCCCCATAGCCTGATGTAGCACCAGGAAAATGCTGGGCAATGGATGGATCCCAAGGTTTTGTGACTATTCAACTAGCAATGCCAGTAGTGGTGACTGCAGTGAGTCTAGAGCACATTCCTAAAGAGCTGTCTCCCTCCGGTAAACTGTATTCTGCCCCAAGGGATTTTTACATTGTGGTAAAGTTCATCATACTTTTTTTTAATAATAATTTTTTTAAGGCAAACAATTTTTTTAAAAGTAATAAACTTTCAGAAAGCATATAATATATTGTTAAGAAATATTTGCAACAACAAAAATAATTTTTTTTTTCAAATGAAAAATCTTAAAGTTTATTGTTAATTTAATTTTATAAAGCTGTAAAGAAAGGCTTTAAATCAGAAATTATTACCTCTGTGCAGGGAAGAGAACGAGGTATGGATTCACCAGAATTAATACTCGGGAGCTACACCTACAGAGTTGGTCAAGATCCAATACAAGTGTTTGAAATCAAGGTATAACAGGGATGGAATTCCCATTATATTACACATATTAGCTTTAATTCTGTGATGTAAAATATATGTTAAAATCCAGATTTTCAATTTTTGTTAGATAATCTATAATTAGTGCTCGTCTTGGGTGAACTGGATCTAGAGCAGCCTATCAGGACTTGTGATTTTTAAAAAAAGGACCCAATAGAGATTAAGTCCCTTAAAAATATATCTTAAATTAAATAATTATTAGTCAAAAATGATTTGTGGGTGGGGAGGCAACAGATTTTTTTCAGGCCCCTTGTCTTCTTCAAGCTCTTGTCTCGTACTCATAGCCCACAAAAATATTAATGACCAAATAAGCAAAAGTTTAAATACAAAAAATTACCAGTTTTATTGTATTATTCTGGCAGTTCACTTTCAACCATGTACAATGTCAAAGCCTTACTATCCAACTTTATCTTATACTTATATATCAAATACCTCTTCTAATTCAAAGGACCCTTTTTGTCTGATGAAATCAGTTACAAGTGATATCTGCGGAGTAAACCAACATGTATTCAATATTATCACCCTGAAGATTATGAACAACTATGGCAACCCTGACTATACATGTATTTATCGTCTAAGGGTACATGGAAAGCCCACATCACTAATTGAATGATTTTAAAAAATAGAGCAGGAATGGTTTGTTTACTAATTAATATTACACTAGAAAACCCCTTTAGCATGACCATAAGGCTCTTTACACATAATTATTTTCTTAAATAATTTTTAATCCCATGAGAGTTGTATTTCTCTTTGCTCTTCCAACAAATATTACCTGACGAACACTTAATGTATTGGACAGCATAATTTACCACAATCATGTGTACCAGTTTCAATTAAGTTCAGTTTTTTACTAAGTATAGCTCAACTACTTTGTGATAGACAGATGCATTTTGTAGACATTTTATCTTATATGTACGGGATACCTGCTTTTTTTTACTTTTTTAATTTTTAATTCATGCTTGAGGTGAGAGGAAAGAAGAACTTGAGAAATGTTTTACATAACTTGACATGACTTTGAAAGGAAATTGTATACATATATTTTTTTATTTAAATTATTTTTTTTAACAAAAGAATTTTGAAAATAAAATAAAAATGAGTTACTATTTTTAGTGTTGTAGTGAATCATTATAAAAGTTTTGTCTAAATTGTGAGACGGTGTAGCTATATGTGACTTGAAAAAAATTAATTAGTATCTACTGAATGTAGCAATACGTTCAGTAAAGCTTGAAGGAACTTAAGCAACAAGTGACGCCTTATTTTGAATGAAGTCAGTCTCCAGAAATGTGAAACAATAAATACATTTACACATGCAGCAATGTTCACATAATATTTTTTTTTAAAGGAGATATAGAGTTTGCTCCCCTTCAGGCCTGACTCTCTGGTAACAGAAATTATCCAAACAACTTATTTTCATATGTACAGTAACAAACAAAAAACCGAGTTCATCCTTAAAATGGTTTTATTGTCTCTTTAAAAAAAGCTCCCCATAATATATGTGAAAAGATGTGCTATGATAATAATTGCCAAATGTGAAGAATAAGTCAAGCAAGTAAAAGTGATCAAAAATAATTCTAGTACTCCCTTTCATCTACAAATTGCCACAGAAATGGTTTGATTTATTTGTTCTCCACTAATCTTCACAAGCCAAATAACTGTTTTTACAGTTTATGAGATCATATGCCTAGCTGTGAATAATTTTTAATACCTGATATAGGTACTACAAATAGTATTATGACTCAAATAATATTGAGTTTCAATTCCAACTTTATAGGATATGGAGAAATTGGTTACAAAAGATGGGCAATATTAATGTCAATAAAAATATTGGTTACAGAAGGGGGGTGTTTTTAAAAAACATAAAAGCCATGTCCACAAATTCGATCATAATTCAATTGACTTCGAAAATAGAAATTTTCATTGAGAAGTTTCTAGTTTATATTTATATGAATATAAATTATAAATTGGCACAAGGGAAGTTCATAATATATATAAATGTAACATAATATGTTACATTACTTTTTTAGAAAGCAATAAGCTTTAGAATACAAAATTTAATCGTTTAGAACAACAAACTTTATAAAAACTGATTACAGTAAATACAGTACACAACCTTCCTTGTCATTAAATATTAAATACGGTAAACGTTAAATAACTTACAAACTGAATTATTTTATTTTTTTAATAGTGATTCTAATATTTCATTTACAATTTCAAAATTTATCCTCTTCTTTCTATAAAAATGATTCAGCATATGTCACTGCACATCACAAAAATTTATAAAATTTTACTTTATTTAAACGTATTTTTATTGATAATTAGTTATCATTTTATATCTTTTTCTGAAGCCTTTTCCAAGTTTTTAGCTCCACAAGAAAATTAAAATAAAAAATTAGAGTAAAGGCTAAAAGCTTAATAAACACTGTTATAGAGATTACATGTGAAAGTTGATTAAAAGAATGAACAAAGTTCATGTAACATTTCAGCATCACGTAAAATGGTAAAAGGGTATTTAAAATGAAGCTTGAAGATTTACAAAAATAAAAGAAAGTAATCATAGAGTTGAATTAATACAGAAGTCTCAAAACAAAATTAGCTTTCAAATAAAAATATGTCTGTATTATTAATACACACACAGATATAAATATATATATATATATATATATGTGTGTGTGTGTGTGTGTGTAAAATACTAAAAGTTAAAACTTAAAATGTGGTATATATTTGTTAGGCTTCTATAAAATATTCAATAGTAAGCTGTTATGTTTCTAATCAATAAAAAATTATATAATAATGGATAGATGTCTTTCAATTCAATGAATTGAATAATCTGCTATTAATAATAAATTCAGTCAGCCTAACTAAATATTCTTAGACCTTTTTTTTTTTAATAGGTACTAAGTGACGGCCTTAACAGAAATCATCCATGATAAGGAGAAAACAACATATTCTTACAATTCTTAATTTAACTTAGAGGAGAGGACTGTCATTTTTTAAGGGTACACATCATACAATTAGAATATGAAAAATAAGGAGGTAGCAAAAAAAAATAGTGATTTGACTAGAATCTGTTGTAAGTTCATTGACAAAAGATTAATTTATCCCAATGGTTAATAAGAACTGTTATTGTTTGGTTATTGCTGATGCTGTTGTCAACAATAATGAAATAACTGAGCAGAAATATTTCCTCAAGTCTAATTATAAAAAGTGTTGGACTGCAATAAAGCTTTAAAATAGATTAATAAGACACGAACAAATTGTGTCAATAGATCAATATGAGTTAGCTTTAATAATAATTGTACATTATACAGAATTAAACGTTTCGGCACATGCCTTCATCAGTACAAACAAACACAACACATTTAAATAAGTATAAATTAAATTTACATAATGTCAATATATATATTTCCTACCTAAAATAGAAAAAATATAGAAAAAATATAGGAGAGGGCGCTAAAACCAGACAAAAACAAAGTAAAGAGGAGTAGAAAGGAAGTGATTTTAACATAATTGGAAAAACCAAACAGGAAAAAGACATGGCAGCTAAGTAAAACTATGGATTTGGTTCAATCCATATGGAGACAACGTACCAAATCTAGTTATTAATTTGTTCTCCATATAGATTCTATCTGCAGTGTTACTAGTATAGAGTATACCAGTAACTACAATATCTGAGATACCATTATGGTTAGGGCTATTGAAATGTTTGGAGACCGGACAGAGAGCGTGTTTATTTATGTTATAGAGGTGCTCTCTGAAACGGTCCCCAAGGCGACGACCTGTCTCTCCTATGTATAGTTTACCGCACTTTTTGCAAATGATGGTGTAAATCACGTTGCGACTTGTGCAGGTAAAGCCATCTTTTATTCTGAATACTCCCAGAGGGAAAGTGATCGTATCAGTTTCGATCACATAGGGACATGAGTTGCAACTTCAAGTCTGAAGTTTCTATTACAAATAAATTGAACAGGAAGCATTAACAACTATTGGGAAACAATATTAACAACTAAAGTGAAAATATGGGCCATTGCTGGAAACAAAGTCTGACGTTAATGTTGACCATTTCCAACAACCTCTTCTAGTCGATTGCATCAGAAAGATGTATTACCATGCTTTTCCTCTAGCTTGAAATTTAAATTATGGTGCTCTGTTAACAAAATCTTATTTTAACAATATCAAATTATTTCTAAGCCAAATTTATTTTTGGCAATATCATAAAAGTTATTTGCATAAGATTCATTCAAGATGTATACATAGAGTTTCAAAAGTGTAAAACATAGTCCAAACATTAAAAAATACATTTCATGAACAAGCCAGTTGGCAGTTTCACAAAATTAGACATGATTTTTTTTTTTTTGGTTTGAGAAACTTCATTCTGATCCAACATCAGCAATGCCTTCATACATTATTTACATATGCATAAAATAAAAATATTTTGGCAATTTGAGTTAACAAAATATCAATAGCACAAAATTTAACTTTTTGTCAAAAATAGACTGACCTTAATTCACCAATATTTTTAGACAAGGACAGTATTATTCTTAAAGATATGAAAAAGCATTATAAAATATTCCTGTGTTGACTGTTAGTGTTATCCTAGAAAGGTATGAAGCAATATGTGAGATTGAAATTAGGTCATCAAAAAAAACATTGTGATTTTCAAGGCATCTACTACTAAGTACTACTCTCCTCTTCAACTGAATTATTTTGTATTACCGATAAAGAGATGTAGCTGTATCAAATCTCAAGTTTTAAGACAGTTTTTACAGTTTTATTAAAAGAAGATGTTGAGTGACTGGTAAGACCTCAATAACAGTTGAAATAGCTACAACATTATTGGCGCATTGAATAAATTCTCCACAAAAATACACAATTTACAAAGAACAATAAACAACAAGAAGAGAACTCAGTCTACTTCTTCATATCTGGCTCGTTTGATGGCCTTATCTTCATCCTCATCATCCTCCTCCTCGTCAGAGTAGCTGTGAACACTGATGGTGGGTTGGTCAGTGATGACATCCAATGGAACATCCACGCCTGATACGACTGGAATCTCATTTCTGTCAGTCAAACCAACACTGCCACCAGAAAGTGAGAGAAGAACTGGTTAGGTGTTCAAATGTAAGCAACACTGGCACCAGAAAGTGAGAGAAGAACTGGTTAGGTGTTCAAATGTAAGCAACACTGCCACCAGAAAGTGAGAGAAGAACTGGTTAGGTGTTCAAATGTAAGCAACACTGCCACCAGAAAGTGAGAGAAGAACTGGTTAGGTGTTCAAATGTAAGCAACACTGGCACCAGAAAGTGAGAGAAGAACTGGTTAGGTGTTCAAATGTAAGCAACACTGGCACCAGAAAGTGAGAGAAGAACTGGTTAGGTGTTCAAATGTAAGAAACACTGCCACCAGAAAGTGAGAGAAGAACTGGTTAGGTGTTCAAATGTAAGCAACACTGAATTCAAAATGTTATCAAGCTACAAACGTCATTTAAAAGTTATTGACAGGCAATCTATATTCTTTATGATAGTTTAATAATAATTTAATGTGCAAAGATAATTTATAATTTTGAGTTTTAAAATAGATCTTCCTACCTAGCTGCCTCAGATTCAATGTTTGCAAGAGCTTCTGAGAAATTTTGTACCACAAATCTCGCATTGTCTGTGGTGAAACACAATGGAGGCAGTAATACCAAGACATTTTTGTCTGCTCCCTCTATGCCAATTATTATTTTCTTTTCTTTTAACCTAAAACAGAGTAAATGGAAATCTATGTACACACATGCATTCCGCTACGATTTCACAAAATTTAATTTTTAAAAGAGTAGCTGGACTGTGTGTTTGTGTTTTATTCAGGAATAAATTTAATGCTTGTGATTTATTCAGGTATAAATTTTTTAAAGTTATTTTATGTAAAAATAATGTTTGTTTATAAAGTGACGCTGTGAATTTTATTAGCATATTTTAAAACTTCTTTCAATCCTGATGTTTATTAGTAATGTATATTATACATTATACCAAAGAAAGAAAAAAGTAAAAAGTAACACGTTACAAGCCATCATAAAATATTCAACAAATTTATATTTGCTTGTTTGTACTTTTGTTAAAACAGTGTGTGTAGTAAAGAAGTTAACATTCCATAGAGTATTCACTAACTTATATGCCAAAATTTCTGCTGACTCCTTTGCAGGTTTTTTGCTTGTTTTATCCATCACTAATTCAACACCGACCAACATGCCAACACCTCTGTTGAACAAAAACTTTTTTTTAAACCATTGAAGGTATATTTTATTTGATTGAGATTTACAAACACAAGTAAATATTTTAAGCCTTAAGTATTCTGTATTGTATAGCAGAATCTATTGTAGTATAAACATGTGGAGAGTATCCTATACAATATTTACTAAATAGTCATGCAGGATTGGACCAGAGAGATGAGAAATTCAAAACAAACTTTTGTTAACAATTTTTTTTTCATATTTCATGTACATAAGAAGCACAACGTTGTACATCTATCACCAGGAGCCTTTCACTTGACTCGGAATGGTTAAGTTGGTGATATGACTGGCAGGATCTGAGGGGACTTTTGTTGTATGAAAGAAAAGTCTATTATACCAACAGGTGAAAATCAGTAGAATGAGCATGCAGGAATTTTGCAGGGCCAAAAAATAGTTTGATAGGCAGGAGTGGGTGAAGGAGGATAAAAACAACAATTGAAATCCTGACGTTAATGCATTATGAGGTGATGGACAAGAAACAAAGCTACAAGGCTGTCATCAAGTATAGCCTAGGTGAGCTAATGAAAATACCTGACATCTCCAATCATGGGATGCTTGTGCTGAATGGCCTTGAAACCATCTTTCAAACACTTGCCCACATTTTTGGCACTAGATGTGAGTTTTTCATTCTCGATGACATCGAGCACGGCTCGACCAATAGCACATGCAACTGGATTACCTCCAAACTGAAAGAAGTTATGAAAATAATAATAATTCTGTTCAAAAAATTCAAATAAACTGAAATATAATTTAAGTTAGCTCCAATACAGCAGACTCCATAATTAATTGATTTTCAATCCTCTTTCTGCCACAGTTTTATAAATTAACTTACGGTGAGCAATCTCTATTTGAAGAAAATAAAAGGTTGCAATAAATTATTTCTAATTAAAATACAATGAATATAATTAAGGCCTTTAGAGATACAGATATAGAATCTAGAATTGTTATTCATCTTCTTTTCCATTTTGACCCAGCTGCTGTAATCATGTTTAAATTTAGAACTTCAGTTATGTAACTTCAATTGTTGGCAAATTTTGTATGCACTACATTCATCATTTTTTCAAAATAAATATTTCTACTTACTGTGCTTGAAAAATCTGTCAAGCTGTCTGCTATCTCTTTAGTTGTGATAACTGCAGCCAAGGGATAACCATTGGCAATTGGCTTTCCTATGGTTACAATATCAGGAACAACATCTATAGGAGGAATAATAAATTGTGTGTTAACTCATTCCTGTCCATGGGAAAAATTTGTCTTAAATTTTATTAATCTTCTGGATGTTCTGAAAAAATGTTGTTTTTTTAAAATCAGTTTTACTTCCCCTTGTTAAAGCATCTGGATTAACTATGAGGAGGAGAAGGGGTGGAAAGGATTGGGGGGGAAGAGTCAAAATTGAATGAAATTGAATTTACATTGTCAAAACGTAGTCAAAAAATGGTACACAACAATTAAATGAGGTTTTATGCTGCAAGATTTTCTTTAAAAAAATGTTAATATATTTTTAGAGAAAATTATTTTCAGCAAAACTAAATTATAACCATTGCTACTAAGTACTCACTGTGCATCTGGAATCCCCAGAAGTGTTCTCCACATCGTCCAAGACCACACTGAACTTCATCTGATATGCAAACTCCCCCACTTTCATGAACATAACTAGAAAAAAGGAAGAAAAACAAATAAGATTAAAACTGTATTTCTGGTGTTCACAATAATTTTTGTAAACACTAGCTATATTGCTGATATCATAGAATCCAAGTAATCGGTTTGAAGGGTTGAGAAGGATACACTGGCCATATTTTGTTATTTAAATAAATATTTTTAAATTCAACTGAAGTTTTTGCTTAAGAAGTGTTCTCAAATTTAAAACATAAAAAGAATAATTTCTGGTTAATATTAATTTTAATACTTTTACAGTTTTAAGACTTTTAATTTCTTTTTCTTAAATTTAAATAGATTTAACTATATCTATTTTTATTTTCTGTACTTTACTTGTAGACATGTGCAAAATAGTTTTCAGGAGGTACCACGATTCCACTGGCAGTTATAACAGGCTCAGAAATGAATGCACCAATCTATAAAAAAAAAAGAGCTAACTTTTTAAAAGAAAATTCGTGTTTAGTTACCACAAAATGGATGCTTTTGGTTATTGAAAGTTGGGGGGAAACAGTCATCAATGTCACTGGCCAAGTTATTTGCATTAAAATTTAAAAGATTTTTATTTATTTATTTCCATCTATCTCACACCCAACTTTCCAGTTCAGTGACATTAACAGAATTAAATGGATTGTTGATAAATATTATCATTGTTCAATTGTGGAAAATTTACAAAATCATTTACCAATTTTGACAGTAAGAGCTTCAAGACATTTTAAAAAATGAGGAAGAGTACATAAACTGCAAATAATAATTTCCACAATAAATTTGACATTTCCCCTTTTAACAGAAAAGTACACAAATTCTAGTTTTTGAAAGTACTTCAATGGTATATTGCTTTTCTTTCCTTATCTTTTAACAAAAATAACAATAACTTTGTAGCACCTAAATAGTATTGTTAACTAATTCAAGAAGATGTGAGATTTAATCAAACTGTAGCATGAAGAGTTTTTAACAGGGTTTTAACTAAATGCCATGAGAGGTCGGGCTTTAAAAGCAGAGTTAAACTTAAAAAGAAAAAGGCGATCTTACTTCTCTACCATTTTGCTTGGCTTTTTGGATAATTTTTCGTACTTCATTGGCATACAGTGGCCCAGGATTAGGAGCACTTGAATCCAGTTTACCTCTATAAGTGTTTGGTGTTGGTGCCTAAAACAGAAAATCTAATCAAGTATGAATATAATAACTCTTGTAAGAAAAAAACAAGTACTTTTATAAATCATATTTTGAAATTGAGACAGTTAAGTAGAATCTGGAACACAGATGGTGAGACATTATGCCAAAGAAAATGTTCATATTCATCATTATATTTCATCTCAAGTGAATTTAAATTATGATGGGTAATAATTATGAACAACGGCTTCTTGCAAACAATTTATTTCTTGGATAAGTATTTTCAATTAATGAAACAAACATGAAGATGAGCTACATTAGTTGCCATATTATTTTTTTCTAATGCTCACTATTTGGACATCTAAATTTTATCTATTTAAATTTAAGAAAAAAATGAGATCAGCAGATCTAGAAACTGATGAAGGTAACCCATATTTCCAAGATATAAATCCCTACCCCCAACACCGTTACATACAACTAATACAAGGCAATCTATGGCATCCTTCCGTCTTTGTGAGACGATGGAGTAGCTATATAGTTCTACACTTAGACGAGTGGCTCACTAGGCCAATCCTAGAATGGCAATCAGGGCCACATCTCTCGCAGGAGAATATTGATTCCCGGTAAATTCTTGATTTCCGAATAGTTCTTTTTGATTCGAGGGCCTCGTTTCGAGTATCTTCTGCCTTTTTTACTCCTTCAAACACTGCTGTTCGCCAGTTGGAGCGATGTTTGGCAATGAACTCCCATTCGTTTGTTTCAATATTGGGTTCCCTCATGCTTCGTTTGCAAACGTCAATAAATCTCAGGCACGGTCGTCCAATATGTCTTGTCCCCTCTGCCAACTCTCCATACAGCAGTATCTTTGGGATACGTCCTTCCTCCATTCTCCGTACATGACCTAACCAGCGAAGTTGTCTCTTGATAAGAAAGGAGAATATGCTAAACATGTGTGCACGTTCCAAAACCTCCATATTAGGCACCCTGTCCTGCCAACGAATGCGTAAAATGCGGCAGACATCTTTGATGGAAGCTGTTGAGTTTCCACTCCTGACTGGTATTTGTGGTCCACACTTCGCTACCATATAGGAGCGTGCTAAGCACACATGCCTGATAGACACTTATTTTTGTTTTATCAGTTAGATTGAGATTATTCCACACCCGCTTATTCAGTTTAACCATAGTTGCTGCTGCTTTTGGAATCCTGATATTTATCTCTTTATCAACGGAGAGAGTACTAGAAATATTGGATCCCAGGTATATGAAATGATCAACAACCGAAAGATTATGACCCTCAATAGATATGATTGGAGGGGACAGTGCTTCTTGCATCCTTACATGAGTTTTCTGTAGACTAATCGAAAGTCCAAACTCTTTACAAACATGTGATAGGCGATTAACCAGCCCCTGCAGACCTGAGAGATGCCAACATCATAACATTGTATAAAAATAAAGGGGACCGAAGTGATACAAGGCAATACAACAATAAGAAAAGACATATTTACTATGTGGACCCAATCTTTGATTTGGTGATTTTTCCTGTGTCTGACAGGGCTGATTTCAACCAATGTCCCAAGGTTCCCATGATATGCTCTGAAATTTAACATATTAATCTGTGAAATAGTACAAACCTATATCTCTAGGAAAATAGGAACATTTTAAATAGATCAATAAAATGAAATAAATTGTGATAAACAATAAAATGTCCAGTTATGACATCAAGTAAATTAAATGCCATTAATAGATTTGATCAGGAGCTTAAAGAGACGTATCAAGGCAACATCAACAGAAGTGACTGGAAGAGTTGTACTGCAGAATGCTCCAGCAAACTGCTGTCAAACATGGACATAAGTAGGCAGAAGTGGAATACAAATTAATTGAAAGAAGATGCAGCAGGATGGCTTAAAAAAAAAAAAAAGCCTTCAATGTCCACTAGTGGAAAAAGTGGCAGGGTTTCCCACTCTGGAATCGAGCTCACAGACCATTTGCAGATGTGGAGTTAAGAAGATACACGAACATCTACAAGAAGACAGATGGATGCTGAAGGGTATTATCTAAGATTTGAATTATATTATAGTATACATTGATCAAATAGTATTATAAATTGTTTTATATTTTTTTTTAAATATTTATTTAACTTACCCATCTAAACAAATGACATCATGTCTTTTAGTGTAAGATGCTGCAAGGCGTAAAGCCAGATCATTCCCTTCAGAGCTTAAAAAAATAAATTAAATTTAAGATGTTAGGACTAGGATAACAGACTTATAAAAAAAATTTTGGAACATCTTACCCTAACTACAAAAATTTTTCACTAAGATATTCTATAAAAATATTAAAATGCTAACTTACCCTGAAGATACAAAAAAGCACACACAAAGGGTCTCTGGCAAGGTACTAATCAGACGTTTTGCATAAAGTGCTGTCTGATCATTAAGAAATCCAAAACTGGATGTTAACTTAGCCATCTGCTCTTGACCAGCACTCACAACATGTGGATGGCAATGACCTACTGTTAAGAAATTAAAATCTTAAATTAAAACAAACTTTAAGAAACTAGAGATTTTTGTAACCATTTATTATTCTTTTAAAATAGCTGCTACGGGTAAAATCACATTTTTTAAAGCACAGTGCTTTTTAGCTGCTGATTTCACCTTAGAAATTATGTTAATTTTGGATTTTCCCTAATGTAAATAATATAGCTTTCAGTTTGTGATATTGTTTGTCTGAATTTTTTTTTTACAGTGCAGTAACAGAGGACTTGTTTTTATTTAAAGTGCAGCAATTGGGTTTTGACAATATTGTGAAAGGTTGCTCCATTTAAGATACTTTTAAAAGCAAGAGTGGTGATGGTTAAATTCATAATAAATGTAAGAAAAACAATAGTGATTATGCTAACCAACAACACTATTCTGGAATCCCTTATATTAACAATAAGAATAAAACCTAAGGCTTGTGTAAAAAATTGCTATTTTATTTTGAGTCCAAGATTATTATTTTTTTAGTTATCAATTTAACATAAGTAATGAAATTTAAAATAAAATGTTTAATTAAATATTTTGCATTTTATTATTAATAAGTTGAATTTTAAATTTCCCTTCATAAGTGTTGTGGTTTTTTTTCTGTAATACTGTCTTTAAAAAGTATCAATAACCCCAAAAAATGAATGTTAGACATACCAAATGAACTGTTTATGAAAAGCATGAAAATAGCTCAAAGATTTTATTTTTTAATCCCCAAAATACAGTGGGTGGAGATACTAAACCAATGAAGGAAAGAAATATTATTTAACCAGTAAACTTTATTCAGCAGGGAAAATTTTATATTTTTTAATACTTTGTGAATTAATTATTCAAAAACAAAGGAATTTAGTATTATGAAAGCTAGTAAATGACTAACCATGTGATGTATTGTTAACACAGTCAAGAAACTCCTGGCCAGTATCATCATACAAATATTGCTTGGATCCTCTGACAATTTTTATTGGTGCCACTTCAAAGTGAAGTTTACAGGATTTTCTGATAATATAAAGATATTCTTATTTATAAATATTGTCACAATCCAACAAGATGAAATAGGTTCCACGATAATTTTTGGTTATGATTTTCATCAATACTCAGCCATTCATAAAAATTCAGGCCCTATATTATTTCATACTGTTTAATATCCCAATGTCTAGGAACATACAGAAAATTATCCTATCTATTTCAACTTCAAAACCTTTAAATTTTTAATAGAAATATTTGGGACATAACATTCAATGAAAATGAGAAATATGCCCATAGTGTATTAACAAAGACTGCTTAGTCTTATTATGAATCATCAATTCCTATCCTTGAAAAAAGCAAATAAATAATTCTTATAGACTGCCCATCCCTGGCTTGACTGCGTAGCATATAAACACATGCTTAATTAACAAGGGTTTTTTAACTAATCTGGCTTAAAAATTATTTACCCAATGTAATCTCTTCTCATTTGTAGTGTCTGTCTGTATGGTACTCCGTGTTTTTCCGGCATCTTTGCTGATTAAAAAAAAATGTCTTTTTAATATAAATAAGATTAAAAAATCATAATTAATACAAAGCATCTTAAGCGCCACAAAGTACTATTTCTTCACTGTAGCTCTTTAAGGGTTTGAATCAGCTTATTATTTTTCTCTTACAGTAATTAGTAAATTGTAAAGAGTTTCAAGGAGCCATGATTGCCGTGAACTTCATGACAAAGTATTTACACATGCTATGAGATCATGTAAAAAAATTCAATTTTTAAGATAGTTATAGTTAATGCGGGAAATCGTATAAATATTAGCAAAAGACTCAATTTCAACAAATTCAGGCAGCACATTTTTTTAAGTAATAAATTTTTTATGATTGACGCATCATCAAATTTTTCCTTCAATTGTTCAACTTTTAAACTTTGCAGTTTGTTTCGATGTTAGGGTACTGAAACCTCTGCTGTGTTTGATTGTTTGGGTTAAAGGAAATGTCTTCTCCCAAAACTTGATAAATGGCAAGGCAATGAGCAACTCAATTGCTAGGCAATGAGCAACTCAATTGCTTAACAATTGTATAATCCAAATTTATCAATCTTACTTAAAGTCAAAGTCTCAAAGGTGGCAGTATCTAAGCAGTGTCAATATTATACGCTCTATAGACACTCACACAGTGCAAGCAGCTAAGAATATATTAATGCAATCCAATCTTCCTTTTCTTTTCTTAATACACCCTAGTCTTAAATATTTTCTTATTTTTCTTCATTTGATTCTTAATTAAAGATTTTTTTCCCCTTAAAATTAAATAGGCTAAGTAATATTAAATATTAAGTTCAATAATTTACTTCTAACTGAAATGGCAGAGAAGGGCCTAATCTAAACAATGACAAGTGTTAGTGTTTATAATAATTAATTAATGTAGGCTTATTTGTTTAGTATTAATTACTATTTCAGTATTTCATGATTTTGTGATAGTTAAAAAGATGTAGCTAAATGAAAAATGAATTATATGCCAAGAATAATTAAATATGATGAAGTTAAGTCAGTAAAGGGTGATGTTGACCATTTAAGGTTCTTACTGATTACCCATTAACAAGTTAATCTTATGCAAATGTTAAAATACTTAGTATAAAGAGGAAGGACAAGTTTGGTTATCTATTTCCTTAACTGAAGATGTAAAAATTGAATTTTTGGGAATGCAAATTTTTTGTGTCCAGCAATGCTTGTAGTATGTTTTAATAAAATATGTTATAGGTACATTGACTGTTTAGTTTAAGTTATTCTATATAATTTTATTATTTTTAAATGTAATATTATTAATAACTCATACATTTTTTGAAAATACAATCTCTTTTGTGTATGTTAACCTTTACACTGTTCCAGCCATGCTTGTAATGTATATAAATATAAAATGGACATAAGGACTACTTAAATACTTAGAGCTATAGCTATTCTGTGATCTGGTATAATTAGCTGAACTGTGGGTATAACTATTGATTTTTTTTTTTGTTATTTAAAATGTCTAATTTTTGCTTCACATGAACCCTTGCACTTTTCTTACCATACCTGAACTTCTATTTTAAATATGCATGTTATAGGTATAAATGTTTAAGTAGATAGAGCTTTAGTTCCCCTATATTTGGATATAATTAACATGTATGCTTTTTTAATCAGTAATTTTTTTTATATATTTTTTTTTTGAAGTTACCAATGGTGTGTGTTTTTTTACCTCCCTTGATTTTTTTTTTTTTTTTTTTTAAAATGTGAGTAAATACCATTTTTATTAATGTATGTTTTTTTATTCTTTATTTTTTTTTATATATTTTTTTTTTTAATTTACCAATGGTGTGTGTTTTTTTACCTCCCTTTATTTTTTTTTTTTTTTTTTTTTCAAAATGTGAGAAAATACCATTTTTATTACAATAAATTTTAAACCTCAAAAATATGTATCTGTTCTCTTTATAAATATACTAGCCAATATACCCAGCTGGGCCCGGGATTGCATCCCGACCCAAGTGGGATCCCCATCCCAGTTTGATCCCTAACCGGGTGGGATCCCGATCTAATTTAAATCCTGATCCAGGTTGGATCCCGATCCCATTGGGATCCTTATTCCATCATTATCCTGAGCCTGGTGGGATCCCTATCCTGATGAAATCCCAATCCCTCTAGATCCCAATCTGGTGGGATCCCATTCCCGTTCATATTATGATCACGTTGGTATCCCGATCCCGGTAAGATCCCAATACCGATGGGTTCCTGATCTTGATTGGATACCGATCCCGATAGGATCCCAATCCCGGTATGATCAAGTTTCCCAATAGGATCCCAATCCCTGCTGATCCCTATCCTGTTGGTATCGGGATCCTGGTGAGTTCCTAATCCTGGTGGGATATTGGCCCCGGTAAGATATAGTTTCCCGATGGGATTTTGATCACTTGTAGATGCTGATCCCATTAGGATCCCGTTTACCATTGGGATCATCTTCTTAGATAGGATTCCATTTTCTGATATGATCCCCATCCCAGTTTAATCCCATTACCCAATTGAATCGTGTTACCATTGTGTTCATTTTACTGCTGGATCTCGTTAACGTTTCCATAAGCCTATATATCCCTTTATATATCCCATAGAACTATATAGAAATTTCTGGGAACATTCTTTGATTTAAAAATGAGTCTGCATGCTAAGTTCTGTGCCTTCTGAAGTTTGTCTATGTGGTGTTGAGGAATGCCTGCGAGAAGAGTGTTACAGTAGTCAAATTTTGAAAGAATGAGTGAAGAGATGAGAGTTTTTGTGGCATCAAAGGAGAAGAGGTGTCTAATGGTGCTGATTTTTATAATTTCGTTATATGCTGATCTACATATATTCATGACATGCTTGTCCATGGAGAGGGTGTCTGTAAGTGTGACTCCAAGGTTTCTGGCAGAGGAAGAGAGTGTGATGTCAGAGTTGCCAATAGATATAGAAGAAGGAGCGGATGGAGGGAGATGTTTGTTTTGAGAGTGGATGAGAAGGATTTCCGTTTTATCATCATTTAGCTTCAGTTTGTTGCAAGTCATCCAACGCTTTACGTCGTCCACACACTCCTGTATGCGAAGGATTGTGGCATCAAGTTGATCAGGAAAGCAAGAGTCACTGATTTGAGTGTCATCAGCAAAGGATTGACTGGAAACTGAGTGGTGGCTAATGAGAGATGATAGAGATTTAGTGTAGAGGATGAAAAGTACCGGCCCAAGGACCGATCCTTGAGGAACTCCAATAGACAGGGCTGAAGGTTTGGAAGAGCGGTTGGAAATAGAGACTTTTTGAGTTCTGTCAGAAAGATATGATTGAAACCAGTTTAAAGCTGAGCCAGTAAGTCCGAAAGAAAGATGAAGGCGGTCAAGAAGAATCTGGTGGTCAATGGTATCAAATGCAGCAGAGAGATCTAACAGAGTGAGAATAGAGAGTTTGCCATCGTCCATCGCGCGCAGGAGGTCGCTCATGACTCGGACCAGTGCTGTTTCTGTGCTATGACCAAGTCGGTAGGCGGACTGAGAGGAAGGATAGAGATTGCGAGAGTGAAGATAGTCAGAGAGCTGAGAGAGTATGAGTTTTTCTATGATTTTTGAGAGAAAGGAGAGGTTGCTGACGGGGTGGTAATTCTTGAGTGTGTTTGCATCAAGTGAGGGTTTCTTTAGGAGTGGCAGGACTATCGACCATTTAAAAATGGGAGGGAAGATGCCAGAGAGAATCGAAGAATTTATGATGGAGGTGAGTGCTGGGAGGAGGATGTCAAGGCATTCTACAAGCAGTGGGGCGGGGATCGGATCGAGGGCACAAGACTTGGGAGCAGACCTGATGATGACTCGCCTCACCTCATCCTCAGTGACAGGCAGGAATCTATCAAATGATTCTGTCTGACTAACGTCCTCCGAGAACAGTGAGGAAGGTGTAGGGGTCGCACTGTCTAGCTCCTCCCTGATCGTTTGCACCCTGGTGATGAAAAAGTCCGCAAAGGCGTCAGGGAGTTGCTCTGGTGCAATGTCGGTAGGGAGGGTGAAATTCTTGCTGTTGCCAAGAAGACGGTTACTAGCGCTGAACAGCGCCTTGGTTGATGCACATGATTCGACCTTTGAGCTCCAGTAGTCATCCTTTGCCTTCTGTACAATCTCTGCCACCGCTTCCTTCGCTGTCCAAAAGATCTGTCTGTCGACACCCAGTCCAGTCTTTACCCAACGTCTTTCAGCGCGTCTTCGCACGAGTTTTGCAAGACGGAGTTGGTCACTAACGCCTGCATACCATGGCGACGAGCGACCAGTCGTGCAGCTCTTCTGGGTGACATCCCAGACCCATTACAAAGTCCAGGACAATGGGTGCTTAATTTTGTCTTTGAGACCTTCTTGGTATGTTATAGTCTGAGGGTCTTGGATGTCAAGGGTTGGGCTCCTTCTTAGGTGGAGTTGCTGAATGTGTTGATAGTGAATGACTCAGTGCTGTCTTTGGTTAATAACTCTCTGTCATTTTATCCAAACCCTCCTCTGAATCTTCTTCTTCTCCGTACCTGGGGCGAAGTTGGTCTAAATGTCTCTTGCATAGGGGCAATCCGGGTAAAGCTTTACCTTAAAAAGGAGTGGACCCATAACTTGGATGATTGTACCTTTGTGGCTTAGAGTCTGTTGTTATTCCTTATAATCTAACATAAAATGGAACTCTCTGGTGAAAGGATTCAATAGGATGTCTATTCGCCCCATTACAGGAGGCTATGTCTTAAAGATGTTGCCCCTGTGCTGGATGAGCAGGAGATGGAATCAGAGTATCAATTACACTTCTTATTTGCAAATTATTCAGCCCCTGGATAGGGGATAATCCACTAGAAAATGGTGTTCTACAATACTGACATAGAAAGTCTTGTAGAGCTTCTATTATAGGTAATGAGGATTTCCTTAGTGATCTCTTGAAGCTTTGGATAAGTCGTTCGGCAGCTCCATTCAAAGTGTAATAATTGTTTCATTTAACAATAGGGTATGTACAGTCTACAGTAAGGAAGTTTATTTCTTTGTGCTGCTCTCACAGTACACACTCTCAGTCCAAAATCCAGAAATTTGGAAAGTCAATCACACGTTTCGGCATTTAAATGCAAAGATAATGAAGGGGGGTTAAAAAATTCACAACTTCTTTTCTATAAAAGATATAAAGACGAAATTGGTATTTTTGCAAGGCTTATAGCTAGCCCTTTAAAACGATGTATTATTTATAGCAATAGGATAACAATTAAAATTTCTGTCAAAGTACCTATAAACATGACTACTATTTGGAAATTTCGTTTAGCATACCAACTTATAGGTGATTAAAAATCTGGTCAGAGGATGAAAAAAAATATAAAAACAAATTGGGCTGGATCTATACTATGTAACTTTCGTACTTGGGGGGATGTTTAACTTTTAAGGAAGCTTTAGAAATCAAATAAATAGAAAAAAGGGCTGTACTTAAGTATTACTGACTGTACTGTATTAGTATTTAATTAATGAAGAATGCGCATAGGTTTACATGAGAAAATACAAAGTGCCTTAAGAAATAATATACGCACCTGAACTCTGAACTGCAGTTTTACCCACATTCTTAGAATCATGAGTCCTATAACTATAACTTATAACAGTTGATTTTTAGGTAGAACAATTTTTATTTTTTTGGGCTACTACACTATCGACTATACTATTACTATTCTGAACTATTCTATTCTGAACTAATCCCAGTTCAGTCTACTCAACTATGACTATCATACTATGACTTTAGTACTTACACTTTTCGCTTTGACTTAACTGATTTACCGAGTTACTCAATCAATAGACAGTTGTCAATTCTCAGATACTGACACTGTCCCTACTGTTGCTTCTATTTCACTTTAAAAATGAAAGTATAGTATTATTATATATATTGGTATTTGCTTACCTTCAGATCTTTACAAAGACAATTATATTTACAATAAGCCAACCATTACGAGTGTGTTAGTCTTAGTCAATTAAAGATTCAGACGTAAGATAGTGTTGTTTGTGACAATATAAACAGGCACTCTCTATATTTGAAGTATAAATATTCACATGCGAAAACATCCCCATGATCTGAGTGACCACCCTTTGTTAAAAAGCTTACGTAACTGGCAAACTTTCTCTAGGGAATGGAATTTTAAAAATATCTTTAAAAACTTTTTTTAAAAGACTCTCTTTCGAAGACGAATTTAAACGCACTAGAGAGTATATAATAATTTCTTTTTTAAATTTCTTAAAATTCATTACAAAAAGCAAGTATGTGCAGAAAGGTAGTAAATCATAATGCACTTAGTGTGTCAGTTACGTAAGTTTTAGCTATGCGCCATGGGCCTTTATAACAAAGAGGGGTAACCTGGCACTTGGGGCTTGGGGGAGTTTTCGCATGTGAATATATTTATTTTTTCTACTTTTTAGCATGAATTATTATTTATTTATTTTTTACAACGAATGCTTACAGAATACTGGGTATAGTGACTGCACCTTTTACCCACGTGTACAACTTTATAAGTAAAATTTAGCGACTGCTTGCCGTCCGTTATCAGGATCTAATTTCCGAAATTCCCTGCCCCTATACCTTCCCCCATCCCATCCCCAAATCCTACAACTATGACCGATGGTTGTAGGCAATAATAGGTTAAGGTTGTTGGGTTATTATTTTTAAAATGAACTTTTCTTATTTCCCCATCACTCACCAACCCAACCCCACCTCCCTCGACCCAGTATACCGGAACTGTCATTCTGTGTCATCGACTCAGATGTCAGATGCGACCTATTACTGGTCAGCACGAAGAAGACTGAATCCACTTCACGAGAGTAAGATGTGACAACACAAAATTATACTACAAACTGACCAACCTTTAAAAAATCTTTGATATGTAATTTATGCAGTCAGTTTAAAAAATTCACCTGAATATTATTATTTCCATTGTCACAAATTATATATTTACTTTTTCTATATTTATTTTTGCCTATTAAATTTTAAAAAATCTTGGCACCCCTTTCAAATATTGCCAAAAAAAACCTGGCACCTTATTTTTACACAAATCATATCGGCCCATCACCCGTTTTGAACCAGTTAGTCAGTGACATCTCTCATTTTATCTATGGAAACATTAAATCGATTGACCCTAGCCTGCGAAAGATACATTAATTTAAATCAGACTACCATGATGCCAGTCCAGTAAACAAGTGTTTCCCAAAGTCCGGGTCACGACCCAGCTCTGGGTCATGGCCACCAAGTCGAAAGTAAATACCAGGTCACCAAAAGAACAATTTAATTTATGTTTATTTCTGAACTTTTCTTAATTTATGAAAATCCTTGTGTTTCGTTTTGACAATTTCGTCTTGGGTTTATTTTAAATCCATCCGCACCAAGTCGGTCGGTTTAACTTGAAGTGTCCACAGAAAGAGCGGGTTTTTTAAAAAAGATATTTATTTTATATTAACTTCGCTTTTGTTCGTGTGTTTCTGTGTGGCAAAATCTTTAGAAGGCTAAGTGACCCACTTTCTGACATCCTTTCGAGCTGAAAGGGGCACTTATACTTGTTTCCGATGACAACACATTCTATCAAATTTTCAAATACAACCCCCAACAATGAGGTGTTTTTTTTTTTTTTTTTTTTTCAAAATACTTGTTGGTGCCGAAAATTAAAGAAAGGTAATAAAATTTAAAAACTATTAAATGTTCTTTAAAGATTTACTCCATCAACAAAA